GTGTCGGTCCCAACCTCTGGACTGAAGCCCTTTTTTTTTTTTTTTTTTTTTTTTTTGCGGTACGCGGGCCTCTCACTGCTGTGGCCTCTCCCGTTGCGGAGCACAGGCTCCGGACGCGCAGGCTCAGCGGCCATGGCTCACGGGCCCAGCCGCTCCGCGGCGTGTGGGATCTTCCCGGACCGGGGCAAGAACCCGTGTCCCCTGCATCTGCAGGCGGACTCTCAACCACTGTGTCACCAGGGAAGCCCTGAAGCCCTTTTTATGAAATGTTTCTATGTTGTTTTTTTAAAAAATGAATCTTTCAGGTTCAATTTTAACCAACATGAGACACATTTCTTTCTTTAAGAGATATGAATTATATTGGCTTTTTTAAAAAGCTGAGTGTTTGATTTGGGAAGGATTTTGGAAATCACTGAGTTACTCCCTTCCTCTTACTGAGGAGCAGCTGAGACTCACCGAGGGCACACAGGAAAGAGTCTAAGCTAAGTGTCACGCCAGGCCCTGGTGCACCCAGCCTCCCCTCCATGATGCTTGGCTTAAAAAAAAGCCAAGTAGTTTGTGTCAACTGAGCACATACTGTAAATCCAACATGGCGCCACTAAGTGCTTTTCAGGCATCGTTTTCTCAGAAACAGCACTGCCTCTTGGAGTGAAAGAATTCGAGAGAAAGAGCCACAAGGGCATCTGGTCTACCCTGCCACTCAGGCCCAATAAATATTCCTTGTGAAGTCCATGGCTCTCCAAGCTGGTGTTTAGTTCCCGTGACGGGGCACCCCTGGTGCATTAGGCAGCCCATCCCACTGAGTCTTAGTTGCCTGGCCCAGACCTGACACCTGGTGGGGATCCAATGATGGTGACGGTTAAATAGTTCTTCCCTCTGGAGCAAATCAGAAGAGCTGTGTCTCCATTTCTATGGAACAGTTCTTCAAAGACTTGAAAATCATTATCGAATAACCTTGGCCCTTTCTTCTCTTTTGACTGGTCCTCCCATGCCTTCTGGATGGCTCACCACCTTTCCCCCTCTTCTTCATGCCCACCATACCCCAGGTGGCCAGGACGGAGCCCAGGCCCCTCTCCGCAACAGAGGAGGGTGCTGAACAGGTATTGCCTATTCATAACATCAATGTCCAAACCGACACCACTTGGCCGCTCTAGGACTGCTCTGGGGAACAAGCTTGATTTTTCCCTTAGGCTCCCAAAAAAAGCAATGCCGAGCTCTCGTCAAGACATGAACTGCAGAAGCACTCTCTCTGCCGTGGCTCCTTCCCTGCAAGCTCACACCAACCTGGAGGAGGGGACACACGCATGGTGACCAGCCCTGCAGATAGCAGGGGGAGCCCTAAGGGGCTTGAAGCAGGGGAGCGATAGGAATTGGTATATTTTTCAGAAGATGCCCATGACTCCACGTGGGGAACAGGGTGCACGGGGCTAAAGCAGGTAGGGAGAGGCCAAATAGGAGGCAACTGCAAGTAGCCTGAGGAGTAGTCAGTGATGACCCTGAACTTAGGGATAAAGACAGAGGGATAAAGGGTCTTCATGAGTGTCATGCAATGAGGAAGAGAGAACTAGAGAGTGGGGTTGCAGTGTGGATGTTGGGTGGCTGACTAGGCACACTCACTAGTTTAAATGACTCCTAAACACACACACACACACGCATGCACACGTGCACCTCACAGTGCAGGGTATACAAATTCATACCTCCAGAAAACTATAAATCACCAAATATCACAGGACTCCTCGCCCCTCATGTGAGCGTTAAAACCACCAGCACCAAAAGACCACAGTTTGTAGCGGACCCATGGTCCACATCCACAAGTCCAAACCGAATTCACAATCTTTCTGCAGAGCTGCTCCCATTCTGGAATTTTCTATCTTGGTTAGAGCTACCATTGTTGACTTGGGTGCCCAAGCCAAAACTGATATCCACCCTCAACTTGTTTCCCTTGCCCTCCACCCTCAGTCAGGTACCTCCTAAATAACTCTCCAATCCATCCCTTGGTTTCTTCCCCACTGCCGCTGACTTACCTGAGACCCACCTTCACTTCTCACCTGCACAACTGTGGCAGCCTCCCCTGAGTCTCCCTGCCTCCAATCCATTAACATTCTTCAGCCAGGTGACCTTGGAAAAAATTAGTTCCTTTCATTTCACTTCTCTATTTAAAACTTTTAAAAGCATCTGGCTGTAGGACCAGAACCAAGATCTCCAGGTAGGCAGTGTGGCGTAATGGTTTAGCACAAGGCCTGGACAACCAGAGTTAGCTATGTGGATGCAGGATATTAATGAATCATGCCTCCATTTCCTCATCTGTAGAAGGGATAATATGAGGACCTAACTCATAGAAGCTTAGGATTTAATGGGAGTTAGTGTTGTCATTGCTCTTATTATTAACAATCTTGGCCCACGTCCTATGGTGGGCCATATGCCTAAGGTGGCCAATGCCCACCTTTTGTTTTGCTTTGTTTTGTTTTTTGTTTGTTATTGCGGTATGCGGGCCTCTCACTGCTGTGGCCTCTCCCGTTGAGGAGCACAGGCTCCGGACGCGCAGGCTCAGCGGCCATGGCCCACGGGCACAGCCGCTCCGCGGCATGCGGGATCCTCCCGGGCCGGGGCATGAACCCGCGTCCCCTGCATCGGCAGGCGGACTCCCAACCACTGCGCCACCAGGGAAGCCCCTATGCCCACCTTTTGAAGTCATCTCCTGCTCTCCCGAATTCTACACTCCCAGGCTCCACCCTTTTTGCCCCAGCAACACTGACCTGTGACAGTTCTCACACATGGCATCTTTCTTGTTTCCCTGCTTCTCCAGGTGCTATTTCCTTTACCTGGAATATCCTCCCCACCTCATTTGCCTACCAAACTCTTCACCATCCTCCAAAACTCAGGCATCAAAGTTAAAAATACTGACAATAGCAAGTGTGAGTGAGAATATGGAGCAACTGGAACTCTCATACACTGCTGGTGAGAATGCAAAATGGTATGGCTACTTTGTGAAACAATATGGTAGACATTTATAAAGGTTGCACTTATTATGTAACCCAGATCCCACTCCTACCTATTTACCCAAGGGAAACAAAAATATACACCTACACAAAAACATGTATGTAGATGTTTATAACAGAATTATTCATAGTAGCCCCAAACTGGCAGCAACACAAATGTCCATCAGCTGGTAAAGGGATAAACAAACTGTGGTACATTCATACAATGGAAAACCACTCGGCAATAAAAAAAAGAATGAAGCACAGATGCATGCTACAACTTGGATGAATCACAAATGCATTATGCTAATGAAAGACGTCAAACATAAAAGATTATGGGGGACTTCCCTGGCGATCCAGTGGTTAGGACTCCACGCTGCCACTCCAGGGGGTGTGGGTTCGATCCCTGGTCGGGGAACTAAGATCCCTCATGCCACGGGCACAGACAAAAAAAAAAAAAAAGTCTATGAACTGTATGGTTCCTTTTATACAAGATTTTAGGAAAGACAAAACTGCATTGACAGAAAGCAATCCAAGGTTGCCTGGGGCCAGGAAGAGGAAAGGAGGTGCCGTGTGAAGGGGCGCAAGGGAGTTTTAAGGGTGAGGAAACTATTCTACATCTTGACAGTGATGGAGGTTATGGGATTGTACACAGTTACCAGAATTCACCAAACTGTATGCTTAAAATGGGTGAATTTTATCAATGAAAATAATACCTTAATACACAATAAAGAGAGAAAAAAATTAAAAGCAAGCTCCAGACTGCCCCCCCCCATAAAAGCCTTGTCTGATTCCCCTCCTCCACCTGCCCTGCCCTTGTTCATGTCCCAGTTGTTGGACTTTTCCCACGACCTTGGTGTTATTCAGATGGGTCTACCTCCTGATCAGCCAAGAGGCGGGGGCCTGGGCTTCCCTGGTGGCGCAGTGGTTGAGAGTCCGCCTGCTGATGCAGGGGACGCAGGTTCGTGCCCCGGCCCGGGAGGATCCCGCATGCCGCGGAGCGGCTGTGCCCGTGGGCCATGGCCGCTGAGCCTGCGCGTCTGGAGCCTGTGCTCCTCAATGGGAGAGGCCACAGCAGTGAGAGGCCCGCGTACCGCAAAAAAAAAATAAAAAAAAAAAAAGAGGCGGGGGCCTGAGGTCCTTCATTCATCTCTGTCCCCCGCTGTGCCTCGTAATCAGGAGACACCATGGTGCTCCAAGAATTCTGCCACTTGCTGCCTCTCTTACATGCCCTCAAGGCAGCCTTACAGCCACCCCAGTTGGTAGGTACTCCTGTCCCAGTTTTACAAAAAGATGGAGGCTCGGAGAGGTTGAATAAATACCTGCCTGAAGTCGGGCAGCTAGAAGAGCTGGGGCTGGACTTCAAAACCACTTCTGCCTGTCTGTCTGAGTCAAGGCTATGCCTCAAACACTACGTTATACTGCCCAACGCAGTGCATGCGAGAGAGAAAGCCCTCGGGAATAATGTGGGGGTTTTTTGCTTTGTTTTTGTATAATTTTTATTTATTTATTTATTTGGTTGTGCCGGCTCCTTAGTTGCGGCACGTGAATTCTTAGTTGTGGCATGCATGTGGGCTCTAGTTCCCTGACTCGGGACCGAACCTGGGCCCCCTGCATTGGGAGCTCGGAGTCTTACCCACTGTGCCACCAGGGAAGTCCCGGGAATAACACGTTTTATTGAATCTAATTGAATGCGGGGCCCTTCCATTCCTCTCCTACTCTGTCTTCCCAGGGTCATGCAGACAAAGTTGTGTGATGCACGTATACTGTGTGTGTGTTCTTGATTCACTAAAATCTGAGCTTTTTCCTCTTTCCTCATTTTTGAACTAAACGGAAAAACTAAATTAGCCCTCCGCCCAGGAGACCAGTATTACCTTGCAAACAGCTAGCACCTCCAAGTTGTCATCTAATTAAGCCACACTCCCAAACAAAGCACATAACAGTGTCACCACATTAACAATGGATACCTCCCCGGGCAGCCCCTCACTGCATAATACAGCTTCTGGCTATAAAACAAATAACCCCGCGGCCTCGAAAACTGCCCTCTTAAGTAGTTCGTTTCCTTCAGCAGAGATCCTTTGAACACTGGGTGATTTTATGAAGAAATATTATTCCAGGGCCGGGTACAGAATGGAAGTAGCAGGTGGATTCATCAGCCCAATTTTCTGGTGTGTTCTACCTTTTAGCATGCTAGAAATCCGCTCTTTCGACATATACATTGCACAGGGTGTTTGAAGTCCTCGTGTTCGCTGCTGTCAGCAGCTTAGTGCGCATCTGGGGGGAGTGTGAGTTTGGAACACACAGAGGGAGGGTGCGCTGGGTGCAGCGGGCATGCTGTCCTGAGCAGACCAGAGCCTCATCTGCACCCTGCTTTCTGGGGTGGTGGGGGGGAGGCAGGGGAGAGGCTGCATGCTCTGGGGAGCAGGAGAGAGGATCCCATCTGTGGGGGGGTGGTGACGGACAGGGCGGACAAAGTCCTCTGCAGCTTTGCAGGGTGAGCTGCTTTATGCTGCTCTGGGGCCTGCTCTCATTTATTTATTAGGCTTGAAATGAAACTGGAGTGAGAATACTATGGCTCTTTTTTTTCCTTGGGAGGGGTCCCCTGAAATAGAAAAGGATCAAGTAATTTGACCTAGTTCACTCTCTGCATCCCCTCAAAGAGGCAGGTGCCACCTCCAGCCGCATTCTACATCAGGTTTCACTCGTTAGTTGATTTTAAGGGGGAAAAACACAAATTGCAGAATCAGCGGCAGAGTGTGGATTCTGGAGAGTCACAGGCTCAGGTTTGAATCCTGGCTCCCCTACTTTGCCAACTCTGAGACTTTGGGGGCCAGTCATCTACACTGCTCGAGCCTCAGTTTTCTCCTCTGTAAAATGGGAGAAATAATTCCTCTCTCACAAGGCTGCTGGGAGGATTAGCGTGAATGAGATGATGCCCATACGTCATTCAGCACGCTTTCTGACACAGAGCAGAGCCCTCAGTCAACAGCAGAATAATATTTATCGTACAATTCCACGTCTAATTGCAAAAGAAATGAGCAAATCAGCTGCTCACGTGGCCACTGCGTAGCATGTAAGGTCAAGTTTACGTGTGCTCACGGTGTCAGGGGACAAACCTAGATCTTGAGGAAGGTCCCCAGTATGATCATTTATAGGACAATTAAGTCAGAATGGTCCTTTGTGATCAGCATAATTGTGTAAGGGCTGACAGTATTTGCCTGTCACTGTAGGCTGTAATCTAGTGGTGGAAAGTGGTACCCAAGACCCCCAGCCCCGTCTGAAGTCCCCCTCCCCAGAAGAGCACTCAGAGAACACAAGGGTGAGATGCTAGGCAAATGCTCTTACCCATTTTGTTGTTTAAAAGTCAATAACTGGGCTTCCCTGGTGGCGCAGTGGTTGAGAGTCCGCCTGCCAATGCAGGGGACACGGGTTTGTGCCCCGGTCCGGGAAGATCCCACATGCCGCGGAGCGGCTGGGCCCGTGAGCCATGGCCGCCGAGCCTGCGCGTCCGGAGCCTGTGCTCCGCAATGGGAGAGGCCACAACAGTGAGAGGCCCGCATACCGCAAAAAAAAAATAAATAAATAAATATATAAAAGTCAATAACTTAGGCACTCTTGTTCTTAGCAGCATTATTCACAAGAGCCAAAAGGCAGAAGCAACCCAGGTGTCCACTGATCAATGAATGGATAAACAAAATGTATCCTATCTATACACTGGAATATTATTCAGCCATAAAAAGGATGGAATTTCTGACGCCTGCTACAACGTGCATGAACCTCGAAAACATTATGCTAAGTGAAATAAGCCCGATACAAAAGGACAAATACTGTATGATTCCATTTATATAGAGGCCTAGAGCAATCAAATCCAGAGAGACAGAAAGTAGAATGGTCATTGCCAGAGGCAGGGTGGGAGGGGAGGATGGAGAGTTCTTGTTACTGGGGACAGAGTTTCAGTTTGGGAAGATGAAAAAGTTCTGGAAATGGATGGTGATGGTGATGGCAATGGTTACACAACAGTGTGAATGTATCTCACATACTTAAAAATGGTTAAGATGGTAAATGTTATGTGTATTTCACCACAATTTTTTAAGGACCAAAAAGGCAATGACTTGCAAAAGTCAGTATTTTACCAGTAGGAACAAATGATTTGCATCACACCTCCTAGTGGGTCCAAACCGCGCAGCTTTTCAGGAGACCGCAGGCAGGACAGCCTTCCTGGGGGCAGGGGCGGGGGTGGGGAGGTGGGGGGGAGGGGTACGTTTACTTGAGAGAGAGAAGCCTGGGGCGTGGATGTGTTGAGTGTGTGTGCTGCCGCTTTATTTCTCTCTCGTTCCTCTTTCCTGGCACGTAACCAACCCATAATTAGGAAGATTCTCAAAGGAGAGAGAATACTTCCTGCCCAAATGACAAGCTGTGGATTATGCTGATATCTTTCCAGATGTGGCATTTGTCTCCCTGGCAATGCTGCAGGTGGCTCTACGTTTACAGGGCCGGAAAGCTCCATCTGAGAGCCTTATCCTCACAAATACCTTCTTCCGTTGCTTGTGCTTACACCCAGGGCTTTCATTATCAAGCCGATTTCCCTCAGAGCTGCAAGGCCCCCCTCTGTCGGAAACAGAATGCGGAAGGGGCCAGGGTGTCTCCAGAACCCAGTGAGGGGCCCGGTGGAGCCCTTCGCCCAGCTGGCTTCCCAGCTCTCATCACCGGGTTGTCCAAGCATTTTACAGGTGAACCCTGGAGGGCCATTGTCATCTACCCAGGGCCCAGCGCAGAGCTGACACTCCATAAATGCCTGCTGATTCAATGGTTGATTGAATAAAATGGGGAAATGGCCCAGAACTGCCACTGATTTCATGCAGTGTTATGGGTGCAAAATTCATGCTTTGCAGACCTAAATGAGTGATTTTCAAGTGTCAGTATCTACCACTGAACCATGCTGAGGAGCTCCACGCATGTAACCTGCAGTCCCATTCTCAAGGTAATGAGATAATGCTCTGATTTGAGCCCTACAGACCCATATAAGTGACAACAACTGTCATTTTGATAATATAATAATTCAAAATGAGCATCATTGCCTCATGAAGTTCACCAAGATGATCTGTTTCTCATAAGATAGACACGGGCCTATTGTAAATAGAAAGATTTCTTTTTTTTTTTTTCTTTTTTTTTTTTTTTTGCGGTACGCGGGCCTCTCACCATTGTGGCCTCACCCGCTGCGGAGCACAGGCTCCGGACGCGCAGGCTCCGCGGCCATGGCTCACGGGCCCAGCCGCTCCGCGGCATGTGGGATCTTCCTGGACCGGGGCACGAACCCGTGTCCCCTGCATCGGCAGGCGGACTCCCAACCACTGCGCCACCAGGGAAGCCCGAAAGATTTCTTTTTAATGAACATGAATGTCCATCAAAAATTCAGCCTTCAGGGCTTCCCTGGTGGCGCAGTGCTTGAGAGTCCGCCTGCCGATGCAGGAGACGCGGGTTCGTGCCCCGTTTCGGGAAGATCCCACATGCCGCGGAGCGGCTGGGCCCGTGAGCCATGGCCGCTGAGCCTGCGCGTCCGGAGCCTGTGCTCCGCAAATGGGAGAGGCCACAACAGTGAGAGGCCCGCATAACGCAAGGAAAAAAAAAAAAAAAAAAAAAAAAAATTCAGCCTTCATTTCAGGCTCCTGTCGATGGGGGGAGTTTCGATTGCTGGCTTAGTGGCTTCCCCCTCTCCCCGCTGTAGGGAAGTCAATGCCCCCATGCTGTCCTTGAGAGTGAGAAGGGACTCTCAGTCACGACCACTCAAAAGCAGGATTCTATCACTCCACAAATATTAGTGCCTACTGTATGCTAGACACCATTATAGTTGAGGGGATCAAGCAGATGTCGAATCTTTAGACAAAAGCTTTGGCTCTCCTGGAGTGGCTTTGCCATTTTCCAGCTGTCAGACCTTGAGCAAATAACCTCCTTTTTTCTATCTTCAGAATGGAGAGAACAAGAGTGTATCACTGGGACTTCCCTGGTGGCGCTGTGGTTAAGAATCCACCTGCTGGGCTTACTTGGTGGCGCAGTGGTTGAGAATCTGCCTGCTAATGCAGGGAACACAGGTTCAAGCCCTAGTCTGGGAAGACCCCACATGCCACGGAGCAACTAGGCCCGTGAGCCACAACTACTGAGCCTGCGCGTCTGGAGCCTGTGCTCCGCGACAAGAGAGGCCGCGGTAGTGAGAGGCCTGTGCACCACGATGAAGAGTGGCCCCCGCTTGCCACAACTAGAGAAAGCCCTCGCACAGAAATGAAGACCCAACACAGCCCAAAATAAATAAATAAATAAATAAAGAATCCGCCTGCCAATGCAGGGGACACGGGTTCGATACCTGGTCTGGGAAGATCCCACATGCCGTGGAGCAGCTAAGCCCGTGCGCCACAACAAGAGAAGCCCCCACCCACCGCAACTAGAGAGAGCCCGTGCGCAGCAACAAAGACACAACACAGCCACAAATAAATTAAAAAAAAAAAAGTGAACAGGTAAATTGTGGTACATACATACAATGGAATAGTATTCAGCCATAAAAAGAAGCAAAGTTCTGATATATGCTGTGATGTAAACATTATGCTAAGCAAAAGAAGCCAGACACAAAAGGTCACATATTATATGATTCCTTTTCTATGAAGTACTCAGAATAGGCAAATCCATAGAGACAGAAAGCAGAGGAGTGGTTACCAGGAGATGGGGGGAGAGGGCAATGGAGAGTGACTACTTAATGGGTACAGGGGGTTCTTCTGGGGCGATGAAGGGATTTTGAAACTAGAGGGAGGTGGTGGTTGAAAAACATGTGAATTGTGTCCTTTAAATCAGCGGTCCCCAACCCTTTTGGCACCAGGGACTGGTTTCGTGGAAGACGGTTTTTCCACGGACGGGAGCGGGGTGAGGGGGGCGGGGAATGGTTCAGGCAGCACCGCGAGCGATGGGGCGTGGCAGATGAAGCTTCGCTCTCTCGCCCGCCGCGCACCTCCCGCTGCGCGGCCCGGTTCCTAACAGGCCTCCT